CCTAAATGATTTCTAAAATTTCTTTACAATAAGAAATCATTCATGAAGAAAATAAGAAGATAAACATTAAGATTCATTCATATCCTAAAGAACTCACCTCAATCACCATTATCCTTGATTTGGATCCAAGAAAGAGTTTAGCCAACCATGATTATATATAAGAACACTTCAATAAACATGAAAGAACTTGAATCCAACTGAAAAAATAAGTTTTACAAACTAAAGAACCGAAATCTATAAAGAAGAACACAATACAATTTCAGAAAAAATTCGGACACAAATCTGACTCTAACTTTGGACAGCAATTCGACCCTCTTAGAAGCTTTTTTTGGAGAAGTCTATTAGAGACATATTTATAGGCAATTCTGTCACCTTTCCAGATCATTAAAGAACAGCTCATTTGGACACCTGAGTCAAAAGTTATGGGCAAAACACCGAAAGGTGTTCTGAAAAATCAAATCAAGACAGCTTTACAACTACTTTGGTGCACGTTTTTCTTCCTCATTTATGAGGTGTCTCCTTCTTCTTTTTGACCCAAAATAATGTTAAAATATCCCCTCCAGCTTTCCATCCATGTGCTTGCCTTCTTGGATCAATGGATTGCCCAAAATAAATCAATTGTTATTTGTTGTGTGGACATGTAAGATCATGGATTGTGTTTGGGTTGATTTGAAGGTTGATTTTAACTAAAAACAATAAATACATATATAAAATAAGAGACTTAATGACACTTTTGATGCACAATCAAAGAGCAATGATAAGTGATCAAGGCACCCATTTTTGTAATCAAACTATTAAAGCATTGATGTGAAAATATGGAGTACATCATCGAGTAGCCATAACTTACCATCCATAAACTAACAAATAGACTAAGGTTTCAAACCAAGAAATAAAGTACATCTTGGAAAAGATGGTGAACCCCAATCGAAAGGATTAAAGCTTGCATTTAAAGGATACACTTTGGGCATACCGTACAACATACAAAACTCCAATCGGAATGTATCGTATAGGTTGGTTTTTGCTAAGTTATGTAATTTACCGGTGAAAATTAAACATCATGCCTTTTGGGCAATGCAATAATGCAATCTTTATGCTAAAAAATGAAAATTGCAGTGGTAAGAACTTAAAAGAAATTTGATTGGAAGCATATGACAATGCAAGGCTATATAAAGAGCGGACCAAATATCTTCACGATAAGGTTTTACAACACAAACATTTTTTTGTTGGGTAGAAAGTACTACTTTTCAACTCTAGATTGAAATTCATGCCTAGAAAATTACAATCTAGATGGATTGAACCATTTGTTGTTTTAAATGTTTTTTCTCATGAATTTAAATCTAGATGGATTGGACCATTTGTTGTTTTAAATGTTTTTTCTCATAGTGTTATTGAAATCCAAAGCAGTGTAACTAGCAAAGTTTTCAAGGTGAAGGGCTATAGACTTAAGCCTTTCCTCGAGAATTTTAGAGACACTATTGAGAAGTTAAACTGATTAATCCAATCTATTTGGATGCATGACTTAAAAAAACAATGTGTAGCCAAAGACAATAAAGAACGACGTTTTAGGGAGGCAACCTAGCATCGAAACAATTCTTAAAAAAAAGAAGAAGTTATTCTATTTAATTTTCTCCTCACATTTGATATGACCTCCTTCTTTTATGGTTTAAAAGACTCCTATTTAGAGTTTTTGTACGTGTGCGGCGTCGCAGCAAATCATCCACCCTCAAGGTACAGTGTCTATCTATCCAATGTAGAGAGACAAGAAATTCTTGTCTCTTATAAGTGGAAAGATGTAATGGGAGTCACCACCTTGTATTTTGGTCACTAGAAACCTTAACTTATCTCAGAGATCGGTACGAAGATTGGTTGTGTAAAGCAAAGGTATTAAAACTCCAAATACAACCTACCTAAGATAAGCTGCATTATTTTATTATTTGATATATGCTACGGTTTTATCATATATTCTAATTGTTGGTTTGCTATGGTTTAATAATTTTTTTTTTGATTTTTTTAAATATTGGCCGAGTTTTCATGACTTTAACAAACTAGTTAGTAAAGTGAAAATGCAAGTTAAAACATATTTTTTTGAAGTTTTCTTAGTTGTATGAAAATACAATATGGTCTTTTAGCTTTAAGAGACTTGGTCGCATGCATGAAACAAAAATATATTTGTTTTTTATTTTTTCTAGAAACCAAGTATTTTTATACCGGATTTGTATTTTTATGGTGTAAAAATACAAATTGATATTAACCAAAATGGATAGAAAATGCAAGAGAAAATCACTAATTTTTTTAAATTTTTTTATAATTTTTTTAGAACGGGCTAGACCTGGCCCGAGAAAATCACTAATTTTTTTAGAACGGGCTAGACCTGGCCTAAAATAAAACTTGGGCTAGCACCAACCCAAAAAATTATAATTAGCTGGTTACTATACCCAGCATGGTAACCGGTTAATTATATTTCATTTGCTGCAAATTATGAATTGCTTATGTTTTGCATGCAAGTAAAGTAAAATAAGAAGATGTATCAAAGAATGAGAGAAGATTACCTAGGTTGAAGGAGCATGTTTGCTATCATCTGCGGTGACTTGCGGTGGCTGGGAAGCTAGGTGGTAACCGCTGCAATGCTTCTTCTTTTTTCATGTAAAGATACCAGTCCTTATGTCTTCTCCTTTTTTTTTTTTTTTGGTTTTCACTCTCTTGGTTCTCTCCTCTCTATCTCTGTGCTTCTCTCTTCTCTCTCTATTCCTATGTTTTTTTCCTACCCTGTTTTTTCTTCTTTATATCTGTTTTCTTTCTCTCTTTTTTCTTCTCTTCTATCCCCTTCTCTCTGCTCTCTCTTTCCCTGTATTTATAGGCAAAAAACATGGGGAGAGAGGCCTATTACTCTTGTCTAGTCATGGCACAAAGGAAGGGTGGCCAGGGCAACCGTTGTGCAGCCGCCTGAGGGGCATGTCCCCTCTATTTTTCACCCCGTGGTAAGTCACGAATCAGAGTTTAGGCAAGTGAGGGGTCTTTGTCGGCATCTTTTTGGGGCTTTTAGAGAAAGAGGGAGATGAGAAAAGCAGGGGAACAAGAGCTTCTTCTTCCCCTACCTCGCGTGTTTAGGGGAAGAAGAAGACCCATAGTGCCATTTAAAATGACACCATTTGAGGCTTTTCTCCTTTTTAAAAAAAAAAACAATAGTGGATGAAATGACACTATATTGGACAAAACGTGTCCTTTCATTTAAAAGAATGACACCATTTGGGGCTTTTCTCCTGTTTTTTTTTATAAAAAAAATAGTGGATGAAACGGCACTATTTTGGACAAAACGTGTCCTTTCATTTAAAAGAAAATGATGGCAAAATCCTATCAAATTCCAAATCAATTTTCAATTTGTAATTTTTTCAATCAAGTCCTAAATTATAATTTTGATTTAAAAAAATCAATTCAATTGCATCCCTGCTAAATTCAATCGTTAGCCCTAAAATTGACCGTCTTTTTCACTTTAGTCCTTAGTCTCTAATTTATGTAATTTGACCTTCAATTGATCAATAAACTTCTAATTTCTTCAATTTTCCCCTTGATTTGGTTAATTACAGCCCTTCTGTTTACGTGTCTTTTCTAGTTTGGTCCTTGATTTCAGATTTTTAAATAAAAACTCTATCAAAAAATAAAATTACAATAAAAACAAACCAAAAAAATCATGGTTTAGTAATTTTTACAGGAATGTATAAAAACATAATAGAATAATCAATTTGTAAACTTTAAATAAAAAATTTACAGTAAAATAACAAAATAGATAATTTATTCATATCAAATATTCATTTTGAACTTTTGCATATTTGATGTGTATATAATTGTTCATAAAACAATTACTATATTATCTTATATTAAATTTAACTATTAAATATGTAGCATATGTGATGCCACCATGGATCATGATAAAAGGACCTATCTTAACCATCTAGTAAGTAACCTAGTGATAAGAGCTTCGAATTAAGGGGTTTGTTTTCTTTATGGTCTCAAGTTTGAGTCTTATAGTTGCTAATATGATGACTACATGAGGTTTACATAGTTGTTAATTTTAAGACCCATGAAATTAATTGAAATGTATGCAAATTGGCCCGGATATCAATATTAATAATAAAAAAAAGACCTATCTTCTGTATGCCTATGGGTTGGGCGTATAATACAATGTCATAAAATTGATCTATAAAGTAGATACTTGTTATGACCGTTGACTCAAATAAAAGACTTACCAGACAAATAACTAATGAAGCTATCTATTTGTATCTTGAGAGATATAACTCAGCTGGTTAGATTTTAAATTTGTTTTATATAGATATCAGTTTAATTTCCATAAACTTTAAGGCTATTAGAAAGTTACATGATTGTTAATTTTAATATCGTGAGATTAATTAAAGTATATACAAACTGATCAGATATCTATATTAATAATAATAATAAAAATAAAATAAAATAAAATAATAAATATATATAGGTTTGGCATATATACTGTGTCACAAAATTAATATACAAAGCAGATGCTTATTATGACTGCTGAGTCAAATGAGAGACCTGCTAGACAAAACGCCAGTGTAGCTATCTGCGGTAGGTCTATGGGTAACCTTTTGTCGCTTGCAATGGTTTCTATATGACCCCATCACATGAATATCTATTTTACAGATGCTAGTGCTACCTGTGATCTAAGATTTTTTATTATTTTTAATTATACTAGTTGTGATCTAATTTTTGGTCCTATTTGTTGGTAACTAAATGAGTTATAAATGATTAAATTCGATAAGTTTTTGTATCTCATTTTGCAGGAATTCGTAGAAAGCTGCTCTTACTAATGACTCAACACGAAGGTTATTGAAATATGACGTGCATCTTGTTGAGAAATTTCTCAGTTGCAATTCATGGCGCTGCTGCTGGATTTGGAAGTTCAGGTCATATGCCTAGTCTCAGGTAATTAAATAAATAATATCACATAAGAAAAGGCATTTGACATTTAGGAACAAATATATACAATATATATAGTGATAAAATCCAAACCCAAACCATATCATTTACGGATACATCAAGTAAAAAAACAAAAATTGTAGTGCAGGATCACATATCGTAAAATGCCTCTTCAGCTGTGTGTACCATCGGATCTACATGGTCGACGCAAGAACTCATAATAATACAAACATTTTAACAAGTCAAGCACTTTATTTTCATTCATGGCTCCACAATTATCTTCCCAGTGGCATGACCATCGATAACCTTAGCCCAAGCATCTTCAGCCTTGCTTAATGGATGCTTTGAATCGATCACTGTTTTAAGCTTCCCTTCCTTTACCAGATTAACAAGACATTTCAGGTCCTCACCCTTGGGAGTAAGAATCAGCGGAATCAGCTGCTTCTTGGAGAAAGTAAGTTTCTTCACAGCAGAAGTAATCATGGTACTGGGGCCAGGAGAGAGATGTATAACCTTCCCCTTTTCACTCAGATTTGGCTCAAAAGTACTCCATGGAATTCCTGGTGCGCAGTGAATCACAGCATCATATTTCTTACCAGATGGGCTCTTCAGAGCTGCTCCTTCTGGGGTTTTGTAATCCAGAACCTCATCAGCCCCTAAGTCCTTGACAAATTCAATGTTACGAGCCCCGCAAGTAGCAGTCACATAAGTGTTTCCGAGCTTTGCTAGCTGAACTGCATAGTGACCCACGCCACCTGAGGCAGCAGTGATCAGAATATTTTCCTGGATGCCACTTCCATCAAGCTTGACCCCAGCACATTGAGTGAGAGCCACGTAAGCTGTGAGACCTGCAATAGGCAAGCCTGCAGCTTCAGCTGCTGAAGCTTCAGGTGGCCTTGCAACTGACAAGCTCTTCTTAGCCACTGCAAATTCAGCTAGTCCACCTCCACTCTGATATTAGGATTACATAAAATACTCAAGATGTTATTTGCTGTAAAGTATTTTTTTTAGAAAGTAAATTTTGAAAAAAAATATTATTTTTTAATATTTAATTGTGTAATGAAAAATAAGTTAAAAATTACTTTTTGGTGTTTGGTTACGTCATATAAAATAAGTTGAAAAATAACTTATTAATATTTTATTTAAAAAAAAAATTAAAATAATAAGAAACAAATCTTACAAATTAAGTAGAATGAAAATAAAATTGAAAAAAATAATTTCATAAATTATATCAAATAAAATAAATAATAATCAAAATAATAAAGATCAAATCAATAATAGAGATCAAAACTAACAAATAAAAAAAATTAAAAGATAAAGAAATTAAAATAATAATAATTATTATTTCATAAATTATTTCAAATAAAATAAATAACAATAAAAAAAAGAGGACCAAATTTGATATAATTAACAAATAATATAACATTTCTAAATTTTTTAGAATTTTCAGGAAGTGTTTTATATCCAAAATAAAAGAAAAATATTTTTTTAGAAACCAAGCTAACTTTTTCTCTAATTAAAAAGTATTTTTCGTTGACTAACTTTTATAATAACAAAAAATCATAAAACAATTTATAAAATAATTTATAAAAAACCATTTCTCATTAAACAAACACCTTTAATCAAATAAAAAAGGCATAGCAAAACAAAATTCAGAGACAAATGGTAAAACTCCATACACATAAGATTGCAAGATGCTAAAATGCACTCTCCATATGTGGGCAGCCAGGTTAACAGCATGTGCCAATCAAGTCCTATGTCCATACTCTTACGTAACACTTAATGTTATACAAGACCCAGGAGCAAGGCATTTAAGCAAAATAATTTCCTTAATGCACCTCAAGTTGGCAATATTACAAGCTAGTAAAACTCGAACTTCATAAACATCAAAGGCTTTGACCTATTTGCTTTAGCCGAAAAGAGCAGTTACATTAATGTCATTAAGGTAAGGATTGTGTGAGAGGAAGGTTGGCTCCCCTTGTGTACATAGCCATTAAACCGAAAAGGATGAACTTAAGATAATACCTCACCAACGTAAATCATTTGAAAAACTATAAAGACAAGGAAAAAAATAATAATGAAGAAGCACTTACAGAGGCGCTAAGCACAGTTACAACTTTGTCACCAGTTTTGAAATCTTCAACTCCTGGTCCAACCGCCACAACCTCTCCCGCTATGTCAAGGGCTGTTGCGATGTTGAGATAAAGATTTCTTCAGCCAGAAAGCAAATGCGGCGCGTGTGTGTGAATGCATGCTTGGCAAACACAGAATATTGCATAGACTACGAAATTAATTTATCAGCATGAGATTCTAAGAATGTTAAGTACATGGATCACGAGCTATCTTTGGGAAGGGTGCTGGGAATATAGTTTAAATCAGTTGCTATTCCGTCTGTACTCACTTTCAAAGTTATGGTGTGAGCCACTGAACAGATAGAATGGTGTAAGTCCTAGAGCAGTGACTGCAACTACCCTCCAATCTTAACAAGGAATCCCTCTTCTTAAGCTTTTAGATTGCCCGAACGAGACCAACTAAATCACCCACAGATCATCAGAACTGGAAGAGTGTAACTATGGAAAGGAACAATACCCAAGTAGAGCAAAACTTCCAAAACTTTGATATCACAGGCAAATATTTGAAACTGTTAAGCATGGATTATTGCATTTCCAAAGTCATATAACATAAAAGATTATTGTATTTCCAAGTTCTCTCATTCTGAATGGTAAGCAAAGGAACAATAAATCCCGTCTTAAAAATCAGTTACATGCAACAGTCACACACTTAAAATCCAAATAAAAATTATGCTTAAGCACCCAAAAGAAGATAATCATGCAATCAACCAACATTATCAAGAATAACTTGATTGGAATTTGAAACTGGAAAGTGTAAAATAATTAGTAGAAAAGATCCTATACACACAAAATATATCCACACCAAGAAGTGATGAATTACCGGGGATGTAAGGGAAACTTCTAGGTAGAAAAGGGCGCGCCACGCCTTTTTGTATTTTAGCATCATATGGGTTTAGACCAGTTGCTTCTAACTTGAGTAAAACCTCGTCTTTCTTGGCACTAGGGACTGGAACCTCAACATGCTGCAACGAGCAAGAGAAACTAGTTATACAATTGTAACCCGTAGTTCATACATCAATGCCTTCTCATCCGGTAACAAAGAATCTGACCAAACCTCGCAGGTAATAAACTATAATTCAGTGTTATTATTATTATTATTATTATTATTTTCACAACATTTAATTCAGAAACAAAAACCTAACCTTCTTTTCCATAACCTAACAATCAGTAATACAGAACCAGCTAAGTACTGGCCATCACAGAAAAGTGACATATAATTACACTATCAAATAAGCAAATTTTTGTTCTAGAATAGAACCTTTAAACCTGCGACGCCTCCACCATAGCTATCATACTGCAAGGCATGCATTAGATTCCCTGCCATGTCCAATAGAAGCAATGCAAGAGACAGTGAGAAACAAAGAAGGAGGGAAGGAAGAAAGGAGGCAGGCAGATAAAACGAAATACTTGGTGTAGGAGAGAAGGCGTGGCTTTGCGGTGTTCACTCTTTAAATAGCTGTCACAATTACCAAATGGCAAATGACAAAATCTAGTATCTATCACTATCATCAGCCTTCTGCCTTTTTATTTTTATTTTTATTTTTATTGGTAGCAACTAGATACATGTCAGGATATGTGACCAGTTCTTTGCTGAATACAATGCATAGTTTAGTTTACGGTGCTTCGCGCTACGCCCGTAGGATGATTTTATTATTATTAACATGTTTTTCGTGTGGATGCACGTCTAAACCTAATCTATTTAACCTTCATTTTTTCTTATATAAGTAAGCGGAAGTAAGCCAAGGTTCTCTTCATGGTTAATTAATGATGTTTGTTCATTCTCTCAAAAAATAATTTTTTGAGAGCTCAAATTTTAAGGTAAAATTTATTCAATTACTTTGAATGTATGTAGAGAATGCTTTTTTTAAGATGATTCCGCTTAATACATCAAATCTACGTGGAGAGTATAGTTTTTAGATGGTACGAAGAGAAATTTATATGTACAAAAGGATTTAATTTCTATTAATATAAAAGTTGTTATTGAAATACTCTTATGGTTGAATAAATAAAAAAATAAACTCAGAAGAAGTCATTAATAGTCACCTATTATTATAGAATGTCTACTATACAAGAAATATTATAATTATATTTTTGTGTTATAATCTCCACCATTACTATTGTATATTGCCCTATACATATATATATATATATAAGTCTCTCAATTATTCTCAACTTAGTATTAGAGTCTTTTGTTGTCAGAACTCTTCTCTCCCTCTCTTAAATAAATATGGTAAGCCTCCTAATTATTCTCAACTTAGTATTAGAGTTTTTTGCTGTCAGAACTCTTCTCTCCCTCTCTTAAATGAACTCTATTGTTGTCGCCACCTTCTCCCCCTACCAAACTAGCAGTGCAGTCCAACTGGTCAGCCACTTAGAAGTTGTTGCCATTGGTTCCTTTTCCCATCAACAGCAGCCTCAACCTGCAGTGCAGAACCATGGTTCATTCTTTCATGTTTTTACCGTCCCTCTTCCCATCATAGGGACAATAACTCCTACTATTGCGTTGTCCAACACTCATCAAGCGATCCCTTTGAAGCTTACAACCACCAATTATCTCTATTGGTGAATGCAGATGAAGTCATAACTTCTTTAACTCCATTTAATGTTTTTGACAATTCTGATGGTTCCTCTTCGACAATCAACCCCTCTTTTCTTTTTTGAAAACAACAAGATCAGCTTATTTTAAGCATGCTACTCTCCTCTCTCTTCATGGACATCCTGCATCTTATGGTAGATTGTCGGACTTCTTCTTGTGTTTGGCGTGCTTTTGAGAAAATGCTTGCTTCATCATCGAATTCCCGTATTATACAACTTTATGGATTCTTTCAAGATCTTCAATAAGTAGATGCTTCGGTTACTCTATACATGGAACACATCAAATCATTATTTGATGAATTGGTTACTGCTGGCTAACCTTTTTCTCCTGAAGACTTTAACCTCTATATATTTTGTGGTCTTCGTGGCGAGTATAAACACTTGGTCACTAGTCTCATAACCAAATAAAAACCATTTTCATATGATAACCTTCATAACCATTTTCCTACTTATGAGTTTCTACACAAGTCTTCTCTTCCAACCATGGCTACAAATCCGTCTTTGCTACCTGCACCTTCTCTACTACCCTCTGCTCACCTTACCCAGCATCAACACTAGCTTGATTTCAGCCATAATAGAGGTTGTTCTCGCGGTTACTAGTACCCAACAATAGTTGTTATAAAGCCAGCAAATGTTTGATTTTCATGGTGTTCATTCTTCTACCCTTGCAGACTGGAAGCAGAGCAACTAGTAGCAGACCAGACGTTCTGCTAGTTCTGAAAGTGGCCTCCTCACCGGCCTTTTGAGTAGCCTATGAAGTGTCAGCTTTACTTCTCTTTTGGTCACACCACTCAATATGCTTAGTTTTGCAGCAGTAGCCACTAGCCTTCTACTCATCTTACTATTGGTTTTGTTTCTATAGGAAGTTGGTTCTTAGATACTTGTGCGAACTAGTATGCACTATAAAATTTCACATTTTTACTGACTGAAATATTCTGTTGGTATGTGATTAAGAGTTCGTCGGTAATTTCATTACCAACATCCTCACCAATGGAATACATCTGTCGGCATTCCTTTCCTTGGTAATATCAACATTTGTCGCTATATTGGTGACACGACTAAAATATTGATGTCTTCTTCTAAGTGCAGGAGTGTCGAAGTAATAAATAACCCGGTAACACCAAGGTCGAACCACATAAAGGTTAATTATATAAATTATAGACAACAATAATACAATAATAACAATAACAACAATAACAACAATAATAGTAGTAGTAGTAAAGAAGAAGAAGAAGAAGTTGATGAAAACTTTGAGATGAAAGATTAACGTAAGGATTAAACAATGATAATAACAAATGTCAAACAAGTATAGTATAAATTATTATTATTCAATTGGAAATCACACACATTGAACACTAAACAATATTTGGGTTGCAATAGAGATTCAGACTTCTTTGTTGTTGCTATAATTTGGACTTGAAAACAGTCTTTTTACATCTTGGCCTCCCATGAAAGTTGTAGGCCTTTGTCTTATCTTTCTATCCATATAAAATGGACCTAAATCCAACATCTACAACTCCAGATATGATCCAATTACTGAACAGTATTTCAGTTTGGATTACACCAGCATCTCTTTTTTAAGTTTGGCCCTCTCTTTGTCCTTTCAATTTCAGTACTTAAACTCATCAATCAATCCTTTCTTCTATATGATAGACCTGCATTTAAGATGAATATTTACCATAAATTAAAGATATCTTATATTATTAGATACATTATTATAAAATATATTTTAGTTAATGAGTTAGTGATACTTCAAGTGCAGACTAATGATATAAAACCTTGATAAAAATGCATTTTTAAGTACTAATCACACCCTCCAACCAGTTTATTACTAGTCCTTAATAATCAAAGCGTTAAAATAGAAAAAAAAATTGTGAATTTCACAAAGCACGACATTCATCATTCAACTTCCATTAATCTATTAAGATAAACCAATTCTCATTAAATTTATATATCTACTCAAGTTAGTTGACTTTAGGGTATTAGGTGTTAAAACACCCCTTTAGGCTTAATTGTTCAGGTTAGGGAGGTTACGAAACCAAACTTATTTATATTTTTATTATCATCATTTTGTTTTTGCTTTTTTTTGTTTTTTTTTTTGTAAATTATATACTATCCCTTTTGACACGACGAAAAGATTAATGTCTTCTCCCAAGTGTAGGAGTGTCGAAGTAATAAATAACCCGGCAAGACCTTTGAGAACTTTGAGATGAAATTATAAATAACAATAATATAACAACAATAATAATAACAACAAAAATACTAATAATAATAGTAATAATAATAATAAAGAAAAAGAAGGAGAAAAAGAAGAAGAAGATGAGAACTTTGAGATGAAATATTAATGTAACAATTAAACAATGATAATAACAAATGTCAAGGTTAGAGGATCCACTAATGGTATGTCAAACAAGTATAGTACAAACTTTTATTATTCAATTGGAAACCACACACAAAGGA